GGAATTAAAGGAATGATCAAATCATGGAGAGTAATCAATTAATAAAATCATCATCATAATAAAATGAAATTATTATAGCGGGAAATAGTAAAATAATGGTGATTATATTTGTTATTAATAATTATATGTTGATTTTAATTTATTCTTATATATTTATAGTAATTATTATATATTTATCACATAAAATCTATTAATTATTATTTTAATTTATTATATATTCATAGTAATTATTATATATTTCTCATATAAATTGTATCAATTATTAATATAGATTTATTTTACTTTATAGTATATTTATAGTTATTAGGTATTCATAATATAGATTATATTAATTATTAATAATTATATATAGTGTTTAATTTAATATTTTATATTTATAGTAATTATTATATATTTATCATATAAATTATTATATATTTAACATATAAATATAATCAAACTATTATATATTTATCATACAAATCAAGTTATATATTTACCATATAAAATTATAATATAAATCATATAAATTATATATAATACCATTATATATTTATCAAATAAATTACATAATATATAATTATAAATAACATATCTATTTCAGAATTATATATAATTATCCATTAATTATATTAATTTCAGTAATATAATTATGTCATTATATTATACTATTATTTTATATTATAGAATTTGTCATATATATTTATATAAATATTTTTATATATTTTTTTATATTATTTTTATAATATTTATAGGATGTATTTATATTACATTATTATTTTAAATTCTATTATTTCTAATCTATTGTATTTATATTATCACTTATTATCTTTATATTATTTATAATAACATTTATATTCTATTATTATATTCTATAATTATATCAGATTATAAAATATTATATTTATAACATTAATCCCAGCAATAATCTATAATAACCTATAATATCTATTATAGATTATATTACTGATCTAATATATATTATACCATTATATAGAGTTATTGTATATATAATATATATTATATTATAAATTATATTATATAAGTATATAATTTGTTAACAATATATATTATTTATATATTAATATAATAATACAGGTTATATAAATATATATTATAATATACAATATACATAGTTATATATGCTTATTATATAATTCCATTATTATTATTATTATTATTATTATCATTATCATTATCATTATCATTATTGGATTTGCACTTCCCTGGTAAAAAAACACGTGGAAATCCCGAATTTTCCCACAGCTCGGGGCTGGAAAGGCAGGAAAACATCCCTGGGGTGAGATTATTGCTGCATTCCCAGCATTCCCAAGGAAAATAAGGATTAACCCCCTCCCAACATTCCCTTTTCCAGATGAACATCCCGATGTTTCAGGCACTTCTAATCCAGGGAAAATCAATTTACCTTGACGCCTTTCTTGCCTGGAGGTCCCAAAACCTGAGGGGGGGAGGAAGAGAAATCCCGGGAATGGGATCCGTTATTTGGGATAAGGGAAATCCCGGGAATGGGATCCGTTATTTGGGATAAAGAGCTCCCTTCCCTGTCACCTCTTCCCAAGCAAAGGAACCCCAGCCTTATCATGGGATAGGAAACCCACTACAAGCCCCCCCCCAAAAAAATTCCTAAAGGATTAGAAGGTAAATCCCAAATCCAGGGAAAGTTTGGGAGTGGAATCCAAGGCAGAGCTTTGAGAATTCCCACAGGGAATTCCTGCTGGTCCCAACGTCCCCCCAGGACGCATCAGGGGTGTCCCTGGGGGGTGATCCCAGTCCTGGAGGGTGATCCCAAGAAATCAGGAAATCAATTTTCCCATCTTTTGTTACTTGGGAAAAAAAAAGGGACCAAGATGAAATGATCTTCGATAACTTCATTATCCGGATTTTTTTTTATTCCTGGGGGAATTTCTCCCCCCCTTTTTTTTTTTTTTTTTTTTCCTCAGTGCAGCTTCTCTGGAAAAATCTGATGGGTGGGAAACATGGAAAACAACCCCCCAGGGGTATTAAACATTCCCTGGAAAGCCAAGTCAGAACTGGGAGAAGCGACTGGATCATCTGCTTGTCCTGGTACCATTCCCTGTGGGATCCACAGACCGTGGAAAACAAGGGGAGAAAAGCTGGGGATACAAAATAAGAAGGGGTGGGAATACCAGAAGGGTTGGGAATAAAGGAATTTTGGAGCTGAAGCCCCAAAAAGCCACTCATAGTTACCCCCACGGCTGGAGCAGCTGGAAATCCGGGATTTCCCTGCGAGGAAAGCGGGATGTAGGTGATGGAATCTTTCTGCTCCTTGTTTTTTTCCTTCCCCCCCCCAATCCCTTCCCTTAAAAACCCCTCCCAAACCCATCTCATCCTTTCCCACTTACTTGCTCTCCCTTCTGCCCCGGAGCTCCCGGAATTCCCTGGAAGACACCAAAAATCCCACCAGCCTCGAGGCAGGATCGACACTTGTGGGGTCCCTGTCGTGGGGGGACCCTCCCAGGCAGAGGGGGGGGAGGGAGAGGAGGATGAAGCTCTTCAGCCCCTCCCACTTTTTCCCTGATTCCCAGACATTTTTTCTGGACAGGGCTCTTGGCTGAGAGATGGGAATGTCCCCAATCCAGGGAGAGCCCCCGAGCTCCAACCACCAGGAGTGCAGGGTGGTCCCATCCCAGGGAAATCTGTCCAGGATGAGGGACCACCTCTCCCAGGGCTGGAATTTCCCCATTGGAAGGGGTGAATCCAGGTCTGGAATGCTCAGAGGACGGTATCCCAAAAATAGGTGGGACACAATCCAAACCCAATCCCCCCCAACGTTCTGTGGAGTCTCCCAGAAGTGCCCTTTGTTTTTTTTTATTAAAATATCCCATTTTCCCATCCCATTCCAGGTCTGTGCAGCCGGCATTCCACACTCCAGGAACTGCTGATGGGTAAAATTATTCCCTCTCTTTGTTTTCTGATTAAAAGGGGTCAAGGTCAGGTTGGGAAGGACCAGTTGAAGGTCATTTGGCATCTGCTCCCTAGACTGGATAACCTTGGAAAGCCACTTCCCAACCCGATTATTCCACGATTCCAGGATTCCCACGGCCTGTGATGGCACTTGGAGGCAAACAATGTCCTTGGCACCTGAAACCAGCTGCGGGAATTCGGGATTTCAGCCCCCACCTTTGGTCCTGGCGCTCCCGGAGGTCCCGTCGCGCCCTGGAAACCAGAAAAGGCCGGATTTTAAAATCCCAACGTTTTCCCTTCCTCTCCCCGTTTCCACAGAGGATTCACCACAGGATTCACCCTCCTCCAAGAAAAACCCTGAGGGTGGAAGAGACTTTTGGAGACTCCAAAAACCCTCCAGGGGGATTTGAAGTGCAGATCCGACCCACCTGCTCTCCTTCTTCCCCCTTGGGACCCGGAATTCCAGTTCCTGCCGCTCCCTGCGAGGCAAGCGCGGGATTCTCAGGAAAAAACCCAAAGTTGCCAAGATTTTGGGTGTCCTCCCCAAAATCCCCCTCAGAGCTCCCCCAGCCCCCCCCCCCCCCCCATGAAGCAGGAGGGGAGAAATTCCCTCTGGAAGTGTTGGATGTGTGGTGTCCTGCGGGCCATCCAGTGGTGAGTATCCCAATCCATCAGGATCCCAATTCCTCTGGATCCCGATCCCTCAGTCAGGTGTGGGATGAGCACAGAGCCCGAGGAACCCCCAAAATCAGCAGCTCAGCTCAGTTCATCCCTTCCTTGATTTGTGGTTCTGCTCCTTCCACCTTGGAGTCTTGATGTTTTGGGAACTCCTTGATTTGGGAGTTCCTTGTGGCTCCGTCTCTTCCAGCTTGGGATTTTGGGAGTTCCTTGATTTGGGAGTTCCTTGACTTGTGGCTCTGCCCCTTCCAAACTTGGGATCTTGAGGTTTTGGGATTTCCTTGATTTGGGTGTTCCTTGTGGCTCTTCTTCTTCTAACCTGGGATCTTGAGTTTTTGGGAACTCCTGGATTTGTGTCTCTGCCCTTTCCACCCCGGGGTTGTTCCTCCAGCCCCTCCCCCCGGTTGGTTTTTGCAGCGTCTCCTGCAGATCCCAAGCCCAGCCAGCCCGTCCAGGACCTGAGGGTCACTGCCACTGCTGGGAACACTTTGG